TTAATGGGCTATTCTAAAAGGCTCGATTTACTGAAGCGACATTGTTAGCTAGTGACCGTGCATGACGCATTTCTTTACAAGGGAACAACAGACTTAAATTGCACGTAGTGCCATCTATTGACAAAATGTCGAAGCTTGAGAGTTTTTTAGACCAATATCTACTCTACACTATGCGTTTATCTTTCTTTGCTTAACAATTACTAAGTTTTAAAATGCATATAACCATTTGTAAATTGTAAATACACTGTCCAAAAGACAAATCAAGACCTTTAATAAGACATCTAACATCTACTAATCAACAGTAAAACGGTTTGTCTTACCTTGCACTGAAGAACACAGTTTTTACCAGAAGCTCTCTCTACGCATTACCGCGATTGTGGACCCAGTACTGTGTAATTTGAATTGATGCTTAAGAAACTAAGAAAGATACATCTACTAACAAAATATGCTTTTATTCTTAAAAAAAACTAAGTCTTCTAGAAATTGTTTATTGTTGTTGAATTTCGCGCAAAGCTACTCAAGGGCTATCCACGTCCCTAATTTCTAATTTAGAAGTGATCGACTAGAAGGAAGGCAGCTAGTCAACATCTTCCACGACTAACTCTTAGACTACTTTTTTACCAACGGAAGGTGGGATTGACTGTCACATCACAACGCCCCCACGTCTGAAAGGATGACATGTTAGGTTGCGGGATTCGAGCCCGTGACCCGTATATCACATGTCGAGCACCCTAACCACTAGAAAAAGAGACTGAATTCCACATATGAACCATAACTCCCTTTGCAGAGTAAAGTTAATAACAAAGAACACAAGCAAAAAGCAAGCATGGAACAAAGGACAACGCAGAACAGGAAGTGCACAGTTTCACTCATACACACACACACCACAAGAAGCCTGCAAAACATTAAACAGTAACAAGATTCACCCACTCACTTCCTCGGATCCTGGCTCTTCGCCTGTATTATCTGTTGGTGGCTGTCCTGTTACGTTCACGTCCAACATTTCGACGCCCTGTTTATACCCAGAGTCACGTCTATGATTACACATCTCTGATGCTTCTAACAATAAATACTTTTAAAAAACTCCCACTTAATAGAAAGAAGGCATCACAAGTTCAACGATCACTTACCAATGCAATATCTAATAGTATTATGTGATAAACTGGGCGTGTAAGCAAGGAATGAACTGTTGGAAGATTGCAGTGTTATCGCTCTCTGTTCTCGTATTTCCTTTTGTTCACACATAAACCAAATGCTTAAAGCCAAGTCAGGACACTGATATACATAAATCAAGTTCTGACCGCAACAAAAAACGTTCATGCTTATCATCATGCTTATGTAAAAGTAAAATAAAATAAAAGTGATACGGCATGAAGACTCCATCCAGGTCAAATACTAATGAATGTATTCAGCCAAGTATAGCGTAAGGTTGTCTGTGCTTTCATACTTACGTGAAGTGTGCCAATACAACTTACTGACTGTGGGATAATGAATAGTTTTTGTAATAATTGTTTGTGGTTAAACGTGGTCTATTTTTTTTGTTCTGTTGCAGAAATATTATAACGTTGTTACTTCACGTTTGGTCATTATATTAAATATCATCTTTAGCAAAGTAGGGCTCCACATTAACAGATGACTATGCAATAGCGTAATAATGAAATTAAATGTATTAACCCTCAAACCAGGAGGACACTCGTATGAAAGATAAAAAATTAATAAAAATTGGAGGACGTAGAAAGGAGATAATGATTTATTTTATTAAAAAGTTTGATAGCTTCTTGTTGTTGTTAAGCACAAAGCTACACGATGGGTTGTCTGTGTTGTGCCCATCGTGGGCAATGAAACCCAATTTTTAGCTTTATAAGCCCTCAGATTTACCGCTGAGCCGCCGAGGACTTATGGAAAAGTATATACAGAAAACATAAGAAAACAGTTCAAATATCTTTCTTTCATCAGTTCCGCATTGGAGTCGATGATAGAAAACAGTTTGTTTGTAGTTAAGCAAAAAAACTAAACAAAGGCCTATCTGTGCTCTGCCCATCACGGGTATCGAAACCCGGTTTCTAGCGTTGTAAGTCCGCAGACATACCGCTGTGCCACTGGGGGGCGATAGAAGACAGATAAAACTTCCTAAGTTTCTGTCTTTACAGGCAAAATATGATTGAGCAAAACAGAAGGAAATGCAAAAAATTAACAATGAGCTCTTACAGTACTCCTAGTTAGAAAAAAATCCAGATGTGATTTAAAAAATCAGAAGACTGATGGATTCCTGGGAAGTATAATCCTATGAAGCAATCTGTGTTCAAAAGTTTGAAAATTCCTCATAATTAAAATATATGACTCAGAAAACCTTTTACTGACTTAAGAGAAACCCCCGTAGGGCAAAGGATTAACAGACGCTTATTTAATATCTAAAGTAAAACGGCTGAATAATTAAAGGATTTTTACTCTCCTGGCGAGTTTAGAAGTCCAAGAGAAGTTTGAAAACGTTCTAAAAATATAAAAAATTGTTAACCGTGACAGCTAATCTTAGTTGGATCTAAATGTTGCCCACAATTAGTTTTTAATTTCAGTGGTTCTTATAACATTAAAGCACGGGCATTTCTTAAGTCGTTCCTGGCACAATGAGTTCGAAAACTGTTTTAAGCACTCTTTTACTTTTAGTTAACTGTGTTCAGGATAATTATATTTATTTGTTTGTTGTTAAGCACAAAACTATACAATGGGTTATCTGTGCTGTGCCCACCGCGAGTATTGAAACCTGATTCTTAGCATTATAAGCTCTCAGGATTGCCTCTGAGCCATCAGGGGCGAGGATACGTCACAAAATATTATTTCTTGTTTGGTTTAATGCAAAACTACATTGGGCTATCTGCTGTGTTCACCGTGGGGAATCGAACCCCGGATTTAAGTGTCGTAAGTCCGTAAACTTACCACTGACTCACCGAGGGGCTATTATTTCTTTCTTATCTTCAAACACATCGTGATAACATTTGGTGTATAAATATTTTAACTAATTGTTAAAAACAAGCACACATATTTCGTATTAAATGTATTTGAATAAGCTGAAAGCTAGAAGCATTTTTAGATACAATATTTCCGAAAACATAATATTTTGAATGAAGTCATGAACCTATGTTATAAACTAATAATTTAGGGAGAAAACATGTTTATTGTGGTTTACTAGAGAAATGGATTACTCTTCAAGCTTTCAGTGATATATGCATTACATGAAAAATGTAACAAAAAGCTTGCAGTGACTAAATATTCAAAGTGAAGTAAAGCCTACTCAATGTCTATTTATTGAACGAGCCATTAGTCTTAACAACAAAAAAATAAAATAAAAGATAAGTATCATGCATGGTCAACGTACCTCATAACACTCCTCAACGTCACTCAGTCTTCCGCATAAATAAACCTGTACCAAAAAAAAGATAACAAAAGAAACAAAACTAAACAAGAAACAAAAATGAAGCTCAGTTCCAGTTCTCCTGATGTCAACAATGTGCTCTACAATAAAGCACTGGTAAAAAATCATGCGGTAACATTTCATCTAAGAACCCGTCAGCAAGCACACAGCCATTGTGCGTTGATCAGAAGCAAGCGTGCAAAAAACAGCAAGACTGTGTACACCCTCTAAAATCACAGTTTAATTAGAAGCTAACCCTAAACATAGATACGCTCTATTTAATGTTTAGAAAACCGTTTTACTTATAAATCAAACTAAAAATGATATTTTATCCAATCAGAAAAAAACACACATTATAAATCTATGAATAAACGGTAAATACTCATTACAACTTTGAAATACTGATCTAACCATTAATTATGCCTTTTTATATCATTAACAGGTAATTATGCTTTGTTGTCATACTAACCAAGTTATTAAGCCTTGTTAACATACTAATCAATAATTACGCCTTGTTATATTTTTAACAGGTAATTATGATTTGTTGTTATATTATCTAAGTTATTAGGCCTTGTTATCATACTAATCAATAATTATGCGTTGTTATATTATTAACAGGTAATTATGCTTTGTTTTTATATTAACCAAATTATTAGGCCTTGTTAACATACTAATCAATAATTACGCCTTGTTATATTATTAACAGGTAGTTATGATTTGTTATCATATTAATCAAGTTATTAGGCCTTGTTATCATACTAATAAGTAATTATGCCTTGTTATAGTATTAACAGGTTATTATGCTTTGTTGTCATATTAACCAAATTATTAGGCCTTGTTAACATACTAATCAATAATTATATGTCGACCTGATGTCCAGGCTCAGTTTTTTTCTTGTATTTAACAAAGTTTAAGCAACTCGTTGATTAATTCAGAACACACTCCAGCTCACAGTTGCTAAGCCTTCTGTTTAATTCCGCTGGATTTTGAAAGTAAGGGCTAACGATCGTTAGAGAGATTGGATTGCAAGCAGCAGAAATTACTACAAATTAATCCGGAGAGATGTAATCAAGAATCCCATTAATGGTTACAAGTTTGTGGCTTGAGAAACATCTTTGAATTGCTGTTTCAATGGAACGTTAGCCAGAGTAGACGTAGTAGATTTGAGATATTTAATGTACTGCAACTGCCTGTTGGAAGAAAAAAAAAGAGACGACGTTTCGACTTCTATATTGAGGCTTTCTTCTGAAGTCGAAACGTCGTCTTCTTTCATTTTAGCAGGAAGTTACATTCCATTAAAGTTCTCAAACCAACTATATTCGAATTGGTTCTTTCGTAAGGTAAAACAAACATGCAAGAAAACAAAACAAAAGATAAACACTTGTTCACATATCATTCGATAAAATGTGAATGTTTTTTTTTATTTTTATGATGAAAGTACGAGATGAAAGAAAATGTTCAAATTAAAATTTTGAAATAAGTTACCTTCAAAAACGGGTAAAATTTTGCAATAAGTTACCTTCAAAAACGGGTAAAATTTTGCAATAAGTTACCTTCAAAAACGGGTAAAATTTTGCAATACGTTACCTTCAAAAACGGGTAAAATTTTGCAATAAGTTACCTTCAAAAACGGGTAAAATTTTGCAATAAGTTACCTTCAAAAACGGGTAAAATTTTGCAATAAGTTACCTTCAAAAACGGGTAAAATTTTGCAATAAGTTACCTTCAAAAACGGGTAAAATTTTGCAATAAGTTACCTTCAAAAACGGGTAAAATTTTGCAATAAGTTACCTTCAAAAACGGGTAAAATTTTACGAAATATTTCAGTTCAGATGAGACTCGGAATGGAAGATGAGAAATAAAAATATTTTATATGAAAAAAGTCCTTTTTGATCGTAAAAATTAATACATTCAATGAACACTTAATATTAAGTTAAAAAATGAAATTACTTTGTATTCAAACCTTATTCATTCAATAAGTATAAAACATGTTAACGAAGCCTTTATAAACATAAACCATTAACAGCACATAAACAATTCACGTCACAAGTTAAAAAAAAAACAAAGAAAAAAAAAACACACACCAAGCTTTTCAATATCAAAGGTGTTATGTCTTAAGAATTTTACCCCCCATACAAATGGCGTATAATTGATCAATCGGACATTCGTTTAAAAATGGCGAACAGAATATTGTTTACAGTTTGTCGACGGCCAACGATATTTTAATTGAACAATACACAATAAGAGTCCCATAGCATTCATGTCTTCATCTTCCTTGCTTTACACGTTAATATCAAACAGTCTTCTTGACGAAGAAACAAAGACCAAACATTATTTTCGATTCAGCTCGAATTCTTAAGAAGATAGGAAGCGTTTTACACATTAATAATGGAGTATTGAACATTTTGTTTGTTACTTCCGATAATTTCGGAAGTGACTGGTTAGATTTTCAACTCAAATCTGATTCCATTCGAGAAAATTGGTCTTCACGAAAACCGGTCGTAGAGGACTTACAGAAGTTTTAGGCTCATACAGTAGTTATATGAAACACTTTCTTCTTACTTCTTCTTGCTATTGAGTGGTCGCCTTTATAATCGGAATCAATAGACCGTAAAAACGAATCATTTCGTCTTGGTCTTGACATGTTATTACAAGTTGTAAAGCTATGAACAGGTAAGCCTAATTGATGTTCTGTGGGTGATGCAACATTGTTGGGCAAACCGGAAGCTGAATGCTGTATAGTTCGACTTGCAGAAGCAAGATGGCGGTAAGGTGAATAACACGATAGTTTCTGATCAGAAGGTGAGACTCTGTAGTTGTTTGATGGAAGATGAGCATCTTCAAAAGATTGAAGAGTAAAAGGAATATTGTGGTTGAATATGACCGATTTATCGCGTCTATCACTGAGAGCAAATTGATAGCTTCTTGGGTTGTGGTTTTGTTTGTTGCTTTCAGACGGTGCATGATTGGCTAAAACCTGGAATGAAACCGATATTTTTGGTTTCGTAGTTCAAAATTTTTATCAGGAACTTAGACCAACGAGAAGACAGACAGAAGAAACCCAGAAAGACCGAGCTTTGGTCATGCTTTCAAGCGAACCCAGCAGGATACTTTTTTTATCTCCCATTGGAATAATAACAAAATATAATTAATAATACATCGCATACGGGCTTTTCAACATATTAGTTACATATTAATTCAAAAATATGGCCTTAAAATAAGAATGATGAAGACAGGCAAACAATAAACCGATTAGGTAAAAAATACTCAAGTTATTATTCCATAACCAAAAGTAGTGAATATAACAAATACCTAAATAACATGCTACTATAAGAGGATCTTACATCTTGTCCCAATGAGTTAGTTCAAGGTACCAACTTTCTTATACGTTTTCATTACTTCAGTTAGATACTGTCTTGATATTACGTTACACTAGACAATATTCCTCATCAGGTATTGCTATCAATTACTTAAAACTTTAAAGAAGTTTATGAATTGTTGCTTTATGCCAAACATTTCTATACGGACATCTTTAAAAAACCTAAAGACATTACCTGTATAAAAAGATTCGAGAGCCAGAAAGTACTTAACAAAACGATACTCTTCGAAAAGTGCTTTAGTGAAAATGTTGTAATGTTTACATGCAACAAAACACTTTTCTGAACATGCTGTTCCAACCATGCTGATAAAGGTGCCAAACCCAAAGGTGAATTTAAACCATGCACACTCAATCTTGTCAGCAAAGGTGTCCAACCAGACCTGCGATCCGGAAATTTCACTATCTGCACTGTGTCGCTTTCTTCGACTACTTCCACGACGTAGAAAACTGAAAGACCGCTGCCACGTGCTTTCCGAGTTGTCGTGGATTTTGTCAATGCTGTTTGGAAAATTCAAAACATAAGTCTAACTACGACAAAATAAAACATGTAAAGGCTGTCTTGTAAGTAAAAGAAAGTGTATCTTGGGATTTATTTTAAAATATAATTGCCTTTCGAGGATAACGAATTAATTTAGTTCTTCAATAACGTTTGTTACAGGCTACAAGCTGTGTCCACTGGGAGGCCTAACTCAGCTAACAACTTTATAATAGGAATTCCGAAACTAATGTACGACTACATTACAGACATATTTCACATCACTTTATGCATAATTTCTTCGTTAATCGACCGATAAGAACTAGCTGACTGATTAACTTAGTAACTGAATCACAGACTAATTCACACTGTCTGGCTCACTAACTAACAATGAACTGATTAACTAACTTAACTCATTCAGTCTGTCATTTTTATATCCTACTAGTTTTACACATAACACATGAAACTTAGAAACACTAACAGAGGCCTAAATTTTCATGAAACTTCTACATTTCACACAATTATTATATCATATTAAAAAAAAAATCACCCAAATGAACAAAACATCAAATATTAAAAATATAGCCTAAAGCAATATAAACAAGTAACGTTCACAAATGATTGACCCCAAGCTTCCCATGGGCCTCTGGAAAAATAACGGTTCCTTCTTATAAAGTAAATTGTGATTTCGCAAACCAGAACGTAGAGTTAAATATATATAAAAGTAACTTATGACTGGTCAATAATAAATGTGAATTTCTATACCCATCTGTAAAATTTTCATGAAACAATCCATTAGCTTGCGAGTGATGACAGACATTTTAGCACGTCAGTTCTGATAACGTTGGAAATGAAGTTGAACTTATTCTCCCAAACGAAAATGCTGAAAAATTGCTGTATTACCACTTCTCTGTATACGATAATTATGGTAATATTATGACTACGATATCCAAATTTTTGTGGCAATGTTTTTGGGTAGAATTAAATTTGTCTTCAAATGTATAAAGTTTTAAAAGTATTTTGGGCTATTTTGAGCAAAAGTAAAGGAACTAAAGGATAAATACGAAAATAAAAGTTTGTATAGGTAAAGAAAAGGTTAAATTTTCACAAGTACAATCAAACAAGGCTTGCAGCAGGTTTTTTGAATACACAATATAATATTGCCTAATGTAAACGTAACTAAATTAAAATTATCTACATAATGACGATAAAATGGGTAAGTTACATTTTCTTTCTTCTTTCAGCCCAACTAACGATTTCTGGTACTTATTGAAAGGCCTCTTGGGTAGTGACTTGTGGGAAACAAAAGACAAATCTGAAGTTGTCTTTATACGTCTGTGATTTTGAATTCTAAATGGATAAATTAAGATGAATGTGGAAAAAAAAAACATCCGCAGTTTAGATGATTTTGATTCCCAAATTTTAGGCCTAATAGAATATCCCGTCAGTTTACTGGCCTGTTTCAAATTCTCAAGAATAAGCTAGTTGAATTAACTCATTTCATTAACAGTTGAAGGATATTAATCTCTATGCTCTAAAGAGTAAATTGTTTGCAAACATTTAACTTCAACAATTAACCATTGTTCTGAACGTGAATTCTTATTAATTTTGTGAAAAGTTTCATCCGCTTGGGGTAGTTCGGAGACCGACGAACAATGACGTTTTGAACAACTCATCAGGTCACTCAAGAAGATCAAGAATAATGGCACGTACTCGTGGCTATGACAGAAAGCTGAGGGGTGTCATGTGCTGGAATATCTGCTGGGAGCCGACGAGTGTTTTGTCTTGACATAATTGCACTAGCTATTCGAAACATTGTCTTCAAACTAGAGAAGAACGAACTCCAAAGAAACCATTTAAAATTAACAATTACTTAAAACATCTTTTACAAGTGTTTAATAAGTTGAGATGTTACGTTAACCAAAACAAAATTATCTTTCATAATTACACTGTGACAATAATAAGATGTACATTTAAATTTTTTAAATCAGTCTTGGGATGTGAAACGATCCTCGTCGTGACAGTAGAAATAAAATAATGAAGTGAAACGTATTTACCTTAGTCTTGAGTTGCGAAACGACCCTCTTCGCGACCGTAAAGATCGACTGTCTGCGTCTTCGTAGTGTTCTTCGTCTTGGTTGAGACTCTCGTGACTAGCAGCACGCGAATTCGAGTTCCTGACTGCACCCATGAGACGGCGTAGCAAGGAGGGTCGCTAAACCGAGTGAAAGTTATTAATATATTAATTAAAAACGTAAAACGTTAAGACGACATATAAATAAAAAGTTGATCCAATGTTAAAAAAGTGTTTACGTATATAGTAGAAAACGTTAAAGTTGCATCTTATTTTAGCTCATTGTACTTATGGATATAAAATAAGTATTTCTTAGTAATAATAAAAGAAAGAACAGATTTGACGTCACATCAGTAAGTCATTCAAGCTAAAATAAAGCATTCAAAATATATAGCTTAGAATGCAATTATTATTAGCTGTCGTGCGTGATAGCCAACAACCTCATTGGTTTGGTTTGAATTTCGCGCAAAGCTACGCTAGCCGTCCCTAATTTAGCAGTGTAAGACTAGAGGGAAGGCAGCTAGTCATCACCACCCACCGTCAACTCTTAGGCTACTCTTTTACCAACGAATAGTGGGATTGAACGTCACATTATAACGCCCCCACGGCTGAAAGGGCGAGCATGTTTGGTATGACGGGGATTCGAACCAGCGACCCTCAGATTGCGAATCGAGCGCCCTAACCACCTGGCCATGCCGGGCCAACAACCTTATAATAATGATAGTAAACACCTTATTTATTTTCAAATTACACTACGAAAAAAAAACTAATAAAAAGTACTTGAAATTCCTGTAAAAAAAGCGGTTGTGTTAAATGCAGGTTTATTTGTATAAAACAGTTAGTTTCGAGGTCATAACACTGTCAAATGACACCAATTTATAATAGAGAATTCTTATTTTGATGTGAATAAAAGTCATTTTTAATTAATGTTAATTAGCAACCATGCAAGTAACCGGTTCAAAACAATGCAAATAAATTAAAATGCTGAAAGTTTATCACCAGATATTTAGGAGAAGAGAGATAATAAGAGGTTGGAAATTACCGCTGGATCAGTCTGAGGAGAAGATGCATTTTCCTCCTGTGAACAGAACAAACACACAATAGTCTAGCATCACATACGTTTATGGAAGTCGAAAACGAACAATAAAATACATAACACTTCAAGCAAACAGGAAGAAACGAATCATACAGATTCTTTAACTTACCTGAATCTTCTTGCATAATTTACAAAATTTCGAATTCGAAAACAGTAGAAATTCTGTCTAAGTTCATTTCAACATGTTTTATTTCATTCCGATGTACGTGCTTTATTTAGCCCTTGGTTCAACACGCACAGAACTAGTAGAGAAAGGGATTAAACCACGCCCTCTGATGGTTGTGATAGTGACAAAACAGGAATGAGGTAACGATAAAGGACGTTGATTTGTTTATTAAACCACGCCCTCTGATGGTTGTGATAGTGACAAAACAGGAATGAGGTAACGATAAAGGACGTTGATTTGTTTGAAGTTATGCTATCT